GCCAATCTCACATGGTTACTATATGATCATATATATATATATATATAAAATATTTACAAAATGACAAAATCAGAGTGGTAGAGAACAGATCTATGTTGGGGATTGGAATCTGGAGGAGGCGCAATCCCCACGGGGCAACTCTAAGGATTTTCTTCGAGGTTATAGAACAATTCTATAATTACATGAGTCTTTACATGTGATAAAATTTCACAGACTTTACACACACACAAAAAAAGGTGCATGTAGAAATGGGTGAAGTTCAAATAAGGTTTGTAGTATAATAATATACAAATGTCAACTTGCTGAATTCAATAACTATTACATAAGATGTTTCTGGGGGAAACTGGATGAGGATACATGGGAATGCTTTGTTCTTTTTGGAATTTTGAATCTGAAATTATTTCAAAATAAAAAGTTCATGAAAATTTTAGGGGTGCAGATTTATGCAGCAGCTCTGTAGGATTCTCTTCAATATTAACCAGAAAAGAATATAAAATAAAGACTCTGAATAATTATAAATTGAATATAGTTTCCAAGCACTGTGATTTCATTTGTTATAATTTTGATTTGGAAGTTATTCTCTGTTATTTTAACTATACGAGTATTTTGTGTTGTTACAATACATAAAAGAAAAAAATCCTTTGGTGAGTTTCCCTCCAGGATAAAATTAGTCTTAGACCATGGGTACAAAAGTCCCTTCTGGTGATGGGGCTTTTGTCTACCTTTTTAGCCACATCTCCTGCTCACAACATGTGTTCTGGGGTGAACTCTTTGCAGGTCTCTCCCTCTTCCCCATACATTTCCTTTCTCTTGATTCTCAGTTCAAGCAATGCTTCCTTTCTGAAGCTATCCCTAACCAAGAAGCAAAGTGGCTTCAGCAGCTTCTGGGGGTTGAAGTGAAGTATATTGACCTTTGCTTATTTCATTCATGCATCTAGCTCTCACCCTGTCCTTGGATTCCTCAAGGGCCCAGACTGGGTCCCATTCCTTCCTCTGAGTCCTGGCACAGCACCTGGTACACAATACCGTATCTGGAGCACGCATTCCGTAAATGGCAAGTGAATAAGTGAGTGAGTGGGCATCTGTGGGCATCTGAGGACCCCAAAGTCCTTCCTAATCAAATTTGTTTATTCTTCTCTTTTTTTTTTTTTTTTTTGTAGTACTGGGGATTGAACCCAGGGCCTTGTGCATGCAAGGCAAGTACTCTACCAACTAAGCCATATCCCTAGCCCCCCTTCTCTGTCTTAATACAGTAATTTCCAACAAAACTAAAGGTCCAAAGGGGTTCTGATTAACCACAGCTAAATAGAGCAGTAAACTAATACTTAAAACATTGTTTTTCAAATAATCAACTTAATTAAGATTTTATTATATTAACATTTCACCCATTATTTCTTTTCATTCTTGCACAGTGTTTTAAGCAGCTGAGCATAGCTCAGAGGGTTGTGCTTACTAGGCTCCTTGACATAAGTTCTAGAACTTACATAAGGGAGGCTGTGGGTTCTGCAAGAGGATGGGAGGATATTAAGAGCACAGGCCTATGTTTAATTTCTCTTTTGCTCTAAATTTTAACTAAAGGAATCAAGCTGTTCTCCACCCTGCAGCAGCCACTCTACCCAAAATGCTGCAGCAGATATGAATGGTCTTTATAAACAAGCTCTATTTTCCCTCCTCAGCATCCTCTGGGCAAATAGTCTGGGACACCCTAACTGTCTGCAAGTGTAGCTTCTGTCCCCACATTTCAACATTAGATTGTTACACAATCTAATGACATTCTCCACCTAAGGTCTGGCAGCTTCATTAAACAGGGCAGATGTCATCCTCCATGAAACAGGGCCCTCCCTTTCCCCTCCTTACCTTGATTGCATGCCCTAACATTCCTAAGACTTAGTCACAGGTTGTATGCTCACTTTTTCAAATAAAAGTAATAGTAAACATGTTTTCATGACCCAAATTTTCTTCCTGACATTCTGTCATCTTTAAAGGCCCAAATTAGATGCCGCTTTTCCCCAGAAACCATCTACCCACTGAGCCCCCACTCATCCTTTGCACACTGAGACATTTGAATGTCAAATTTACTTTCACTGTTGAGTACTTTATACATTTCAATTTGTAAGCTCCTTCTTGTTTTAGGAATTACCCCTCTCTCTTCAGACCGTATAAGGCTCCTTAAAGATAAGACCCAGGCCTTAAAATGATCCCTTAAAAGGCTCCATGGTGCCTTGCTGGTGTTTAGCATGTTGTGACAGTGGCCAGTGAAAACTTGATTAAAAAGACTGGGGCTGTAGCTCAGTGGCAAGCACTTGCCTAGCACGTGTGACACTGGATTCCATCCTTAGCACCACATAAAAATAAACAGATCAAGGCATTCTGTCCATCTACAACTACAAAAAATTTTTTAAATTAAGCCAGTGTGGCAATAACTTAGAGAGAGAGAAAGAAGAATCTGAGATTCTTTTTTCCTCTTCCTACACCAGAGCTTTGTAAAATCAAACTTCTCTTCCTGCCACAGTGCGCTGGCATGGAAAGAGCATGGGATTAGGTTCAGATGGCCTGGGCTCAGCTCTGACTGTGCCAGTGGTTGATCTTGAACTTAGGTAAATCACTTGACTCCTGTTTTTATTTCCTCATATAACTCGGAAGAGTTCATAATTAAGAATTTTTGAAGACGTTTGCTCTAACCCATGAGAGGGGCACTGCGGGTGGCCCTGCAGCAGGCCAGGAAAGCAGCTACATGAAAGGAGGCAAGCCCTCCGTTTGTGTCCCCACTAGGGGGTGCTGACTGTCTCCATTTGAAGTTAGTCCTGCTGGACAGGCAGGTAGAGTGGACTTGGAGTCTTGAGGAAGGACAGAATCAAATAACACTGAATCTTAACTACATTTGTTGTAGACATCAGGTCAGACTTTCTGGTGGACAGGCTAGAGGATAAATGAGTAGTCAGGGCCTGTCACAAGGGCAAGGAAATAAAACTGGGAGGTATCTGAGAGTGGATGAATGTGGAGTGGAAAGAAGGATGACAGCAGAGAAGGGGCCATGTGTAGGGATGGAGGGAAGCAGGCTAACAGCACATGGACTCCAAGCATTTTGAGAAGGGCGAGGACATGCTGCTTAGCCCATCTGGCAGCTACAGACCGACCAGACTGCTGAAGAAAGAGTTTTGAAGAAACATAAAATGACGTGGCTTGTATGTATCCCCCAAGAAACAGCCCATGATTTTGGAACATGAAGGACCACGAAGGAAGCATGAGATTCTCTAGGGCTACTGGAAACAAGGAAGTCCTTCCCAACGCATCACAGCAGCTCCTGCAGCTGCTTTCCCTCTCTGTCCTCAGGCCAGCTGCAGATGGGCCAGCTGCCCACCCCCAGAGCAGGTCAGGCAGAAAGGTGCTCCCAGCAGGTTCCACTTTGGGACCATGCTAAGCCCTGCTCTGAGGAATCTGGCAGCACCATGATCCATGCGTCAGAGGAGGAGACATTCAAGTCTCTTGCTAAGAACCCCAGGCTTTCTGAGGCATGTGGTTGTGCGGGACAGAGAATGCAGCTGGCATTCTGCTCACCCCTTCACATAGCCAGCAGCACCTCCTCCAGATGGACACACAGAAACAAGAAAACTGTCCTTTCTGAGTCCACCTGCCATCTGACCCCACCCTGGTGACCTGTCCTTTCAAGATTTACTTATCAAGCAGAGCCCACGGTAACTGAAGAGAGAAATGAGTGGCATAGTTCCAAAAGTTACAAAGGGCCATGAAGATCAGGCAGCAGAGAATGGAAAGCCAAGCCTGTTCCTGCTTTCTCCCTACCCAGGACCCTGGTCAGAGGGGCTGCAGGGTGCTCGAGAGAAGAATGTGAGTTAAATATGATTCTTGAAATTGCTTAGCCTCCAAAAGGTGATGAAGAGACTGTGGCTCCCACAGGCAGCGTCTCTTGTATTCTTGTACCCTCCTTAATGTCACCATTCAGACTCTTCAGATATGAGAACTGCGGCATGGATTCCCTCATCCACTTCCCACAGTCTCTAAGCAGAAAGTGGCAAAGCGCACAAACAAGCTCCATGTCTGCCATAAACCCTGTCTCACCACACTGCAGGTTCCAGAAGCTACTACTGGTACCCTTGGTTTGATGATGGCTCCATGAAAGTTTGTTGACTTAAAAGTAGCTGTTTAGCCAGGCGCAATGGTGCACACCTATAATCCCAGCCACTCAGAAGGCTAAGGCAGGAGGATGCCAAATTCAAGGCCAGCACATGCAGCTTAGTAAGACTTTGTCTCAAAATAAAAAGGGTGGGGATGTAGCTTAGTGTTAGCATGCCCCTGTGCCCAATCCCCAGTGCCACCCCACCACTCCTCAACACACCCACATAAGTGTTTAAAGAACTTAGACTTTCAGGGAAGAACCTTTAGAAAGAAAGTGTTGCCTTTCTATCTGCCCACTTAGCCAGGCCCTACTAAATGAGATTAATTTTAGCAATAGGATTTCTGTTTACTACACTCCAGGTTTCCCTTAAGCCTGTGAGTCAGGTCAGATAGAGCAACCATCTGGTACTCTCCCTGAGCGTGGCTTCCGCTAACCAGCGGATACGAGGGGAATGGCAGCATCACCAGACCAGCCTGGGGAAGCCTCTGTGAGTTCAGATTGTGTTCAGGGACACATCCAGGAACCAATGTCTGGGATCTCTGCTGGGCTTAGGATCTTGAGAAAGAGATAAAAGACCTGAAAGTTTCAGGAGAACAGAATCCTGGAAAAGCTCCAGTCCCTACCTGACCCTATAACTATCCCTTGTCCTGGATCTGCTGAAGTAGACACATGCCGGTCCCCCAGCCAACCCTGGTACTATTCCAGTTGCCCCATCTGTACCTTTAACCAATTCAGCTTTGAGCCTCTCTATGAGTCAGGTCCTTGCTCAGCCATGAGAAGAAGATGATTGGCTGCATGTGCCAGGGCTTTGTGACCCGCTGGCAGGGCTCCTCCAGCCCCTCAGAACCCTTCATCCCTGCTTTTACATATCGCCTCCATGCAACCCCAGAACAACCTGGATGTGTGAGCCAAGGGGGGAAAGGGTAGCAATTTTGCAGATTTTCCAAACAGGTGACTTCAGCCCCCCTGGGCCTGGGCTGGAAGGGGTAGCCCAGTGACAATGGGCATAGCCCCACCTCAGGAGCAGACACGTTTTGGCAGGCTTTGCAGAACTCTCTCCTCTGATCCCACAGCATCTGTTCTGGTTTCCCTGGCCGGTAAGATGACATCTACAGAGAAGACGTGGGAAATGTGGAACTGGGGAGGGATCGTGGTCAGAGATGCAGCTTTAAGAAGCCCAAATAGCTGTTCTAGATACAAGGGGCAGATAAAAGCACAATTTTATAGTGTGTCTCCCTTCTGGATTGTCCGTTCCATAGTCTCAGAGGCTCTAAGCTGACAGTGTGTCAGACACCTGCTTCTCAAACAAGTCTCCTTGGATTCTCACTGTATTCCCAGTGATGCTGAAAGCACTTAGCAAATGCTGCATAGCAGGCGCTGTGCTCAGTGCTTTGTATGCATGGCTCACTTAGTCTCCAAAATAGCTCTATGATGTGGGAATTGTCACCATCTCCATTTTATAGATGAAGAAACTGAGGCCTAAAATCAAACAGGACACAGTAGAGCCAGGAGTTGAACCTAAGTGGTCTGATGATGATCCAGACCTCTAAATGCACAGACACTTTGAAGCTGGCTGGTAGCATGCCAGCCACCACCTACAGTTCTGGAATACCTGTATGCCTTTGCTAGCCACACAGGGTGGAGGTGGTGACATGGTATCTGCAGGGGGTTCTCCAGGGCCCAACTAGAATAGGGCTAAACTTGGAGTAAAGAGAGCCCTAGAGAATTAGGGAAGTTTGAGGGGCCCTACATTGTCTTTAGGACATATTTGTGGAAGATAGATTTTACAATTAGATCTCTGAAATTAGATCTAGGCTGCTGCTAAGACCATTCAATATTAGAATGTGAGATTTCAGAGTTATGCAAATTTTTTGACCATCTTTAAGATTTAGGAATAGAACTGCCTAAATAAGTGCCGCCTTAGTGTCTGGGAGGGAACTCTTCTGACTATGAAATATCAAGATTTGGTTTTTGATGACCATTTTCAAGCTCTCAGTCTACAGCAGCTCCCCTCTCGCAGTGAGAACCATAGCAGCTTTTCCTTGCTGGTGACTACACCATAAGCCTGATGGTCCTAGCCCAGGAAGTGATTTAGCAAAGTCACCAGATTAAACCCCCTCAATTTCCGGTTTGCTCCATCTCCAGACCTACTAGCAGGAGTCAAGTCCCTGCACAGCAGGCTTTTTTCAAAGTCAGCATCTTACCTTGATCCTTAAATAGGGTTTCCAGCCAACCTGGAGGGTGTCATGCTATAACCCAGTCAGGAGCTCCTCCTACTCTTGATGGTCACCCTGTACCATTGGTGAGAGTGGAAACATAGAGACAAGAGTGGAAGGCCCTGCTAGTGCAGCCTTTAAGACAGGGCCTGCCTGATCTTGGTAGTTCTCTATCATTCTTTCAGGGAGGTGAAGAGCTCTTGGTAACAAGTGTGGGGTTTTTGTTGTTTTTTGTTTTGTTTTATTTTGGCAGAGGGCAAGGGTTGTTTTGTTTTGTTTTTTGGTACCAGAGATTGAACCCAGGGATGCTTAGCCACTGAGCCACTTTTAATTTTGAGACAGGGTCTTGCTAAGTTGCTTAGAGCCTCATTAAATTGCTGAGGCTGGTTTTGAACTTGCAATCCTCCTGCCTCAGCCTCCCAAGCCACCAAGATTACAGACATGTGCCTCTGCACCTGGCAACAAGTGTGTTTTTTCAGATACATGGGCAAGTGCTTTCTGTACCTCTGCCCAGCAACTTCCCTTATTTGAGTCCAGGCCCATGTCAATGCCCAATTCAAAAGGCCATCAGAATCTGGATCAGTTTATGAGTTCAACTTGTGGCTTTAGTTTAGTCCAGTTCAAAATATTAGAGCAGACTTCATACCCAGACCACTCCAGCTGGCCCAGCTCTGAGAGAACATGTGGAGCAGGAAATTCAACTGGAGTTTGAGACTCAGTGCACTCAACCCCCTTCCCTGACATCACTGGGTCTTGGTAGAAACCAGCTTCTTCTCTGGGGAGCCAGATCAAAGTTAGGGGCTTTCCTTTTTCTAAATTGAGCTAGGGAAAGGGGTTTGGTGGATGTGGGAAGGGGTTAAAGGAGTCTTTGTTCAGGACCAGAGTGCCACCTGCTGGTCATGTTTAGTTCCATGCAGAAGGCCAAACTCAGGAAAGAGAAACTAAAAGGGCACTGCCCTCCCTAGTGAAACAAGAGGTGAGGAAGCAGGAAGGCTGGTTTCTTCATCAAGCTCCAGAAAGTGTGACAGAGGGTCATTTTTAGAGATCCTGGGGTGCATTAGAAAAGTCTCTTGAGTCAAGATGAACCCCAACCAGGGCAGAAAGTAGCACCACTTGTGAGAGCAAACCTGAGCCAGTCCCGAGTCCAGACAATGGCTCTAGTCTTAGTACTAGCTGTCTCCCCTTCTCCCAAACCCTATGGGTGAAGCATGACTGACTAGTAGACCCTAAAGGGGTAGTCTCTTTCAGCTCCCTTCTTTCAGGCACTGTGGCCACTTTGGGACCCTAGATTCAGACTGATCAAAGATGATCTATGCCCTCCCATCATCAAGCATTGACAAAACTGGGAGTTTCTGGCCAACCCAAGAAGACCTGAGCATTTTCCAAATAGCTATGTAGCTCTTGGTAACTCCTGATAGCAGGTTCTTCACCTGTGTTCTAAACTCCAGGGAAACTGACGATTTTTCCTTGGTACCAAGAAGGAAGATGGCTAACACATACCTCTAGGGAGAGGGCAAAACGGCCCAGCATCCCCACCTATGCCACTGCAACATAGGCCAGTAAATCCCAGCTAAGCCCATGTATCCAGTGAGGGCTGAGGTTTTAATGACTGGCTGTACATCAAAATTACCTGGAGTGTGAGCATAATATGTACATACTTATTATACATACACACATCTACACTAACATTTATTATACACATGTGCACACACACACATTTGGGCTGCTTCTATCAAGGAGCCTTTGAAATGCATTCAATCCCAGAGAGCTCACACTCAGGTTGGAGTATCTTTGAGGTTCAAATAATTTCAGTCAAAATCCACAGCACAACCTTGGACTAGGACCACTGCCTCTGCTTTTCTTCAATAATCAAAGGTGCAGATTCTCCTACTGGTAATCCCAGCAACCTAGGAGGCTGAGGCAGGAGGATTGAAATTTCAGCAATGTAGCAATTTCAGTCCAGTTTCAGCAATGTAGCAAGACTCTGTCTGTCTTAAAATAAAAAATAAAAAATGGCTGAGGATGTAGTTCAGAGATAGACCAAGACCAACCTTGGGTTCAATCCTGAGTATGGAAAAATCATCATCATCATCAGAAGCAGCAGCAGCCTTTGAAACTCATACCCATTAAACAGAAAAAAAATCCCTAAAGGGGCTCAGGAATTCCTAGGACCACCCTAAGAACTCTCTAGTCCCCCAGAACCACCCCCAACCAGCTGAGACCCTCTGAGGCCTAGTAGAATGTCAGCCACAGCTGGTCCTGAATCATGCTGCCCCCAGAAGCCCAGGGACAAAAATGGCCCTGGGTCCTTCCAGAGAAATGAGTCTCTGAGTCTTGGAAAGCTTCCAGACATTCTGGACAGTTACCAGAATAGCCTATATCCACCACACAAGAGGCCTGGCCAGCCTCTGCAGACCCATTGCAGACCTGGCAGAGTCTGACCATTCATACTTGGGACCATTCATAAAAACCTCACTCTGATCTGCACTCTTCCTCTGTCCTGACTTCCTGTAGCAGGCACCACACCTTGGGGCATTTGGTTCTATTCTCATGTGTGTCTCCCCAGTAAGATTTATAAACTCCTTGAAGATGGACGATCTTTCCAGTTCCTCACAGTTCATATGAAATAAATATGGAAATAAAATGCACTTTCCTTGACCCTCCCCATCCTGCCTCTTTCAAAGCATAGTGTCCTCATGCTCCCATCTGCTCCCACTGCTGATTCTTTAGGTGAGTGCCCTGAGAGCTTGGCAGTGCACTCCTAACTCTCTACCATTCCCTTCCACCAAGACTCGGTCCAAAGTTAAATGAAACAGCCTGTCCATTGAATAGCTCACACACAGGTGGAAAAAACAGAGACATGGTCCACAATTTTGAGAGAATCAGACAAATGCCACGAGGAGCTGTGATTCAAGTGCTATAGAGCCCCACAGGGCCTCAGAGGAAGTTTTCTGGAGAGAATGGAGAAGCCAAGTCCTACAGGTTGAGGGGAGGTGGGGGACTCAGGCCAGAAGCTGATGAAAGAGAAGACATAAGGATAGGACGTGTGTCACTCAACCCTTCAACAACATTACTGAACACCTTGCCTGTGACAGGAAGAAGAATCCCCATTTCTTCTCGGGAAGCGGTCATATAAACAGTTTTGGTGTGAGGTGAGGCTCAGAGTACAGGGCAGTGAGCTCAAAGCCATTGTGTAAGAGGAGCTTCAAATGCAGTCAAAATTACTCTGGGAAATCTCTGAAACTGCCAAGTCCTAAGTCTTTAGAAGCTCCCAGGACAATAATTTGTGTTTTTCTTGGCTTCAGAGCCCTGCCTGGCCTCTGTTTCTCTGGGCAATGAAGGACAAGGCTTATTTTTAAAAGGAAGAATGACTAGAATAAATAAGAGGGTTTCATCATGATTTTTATTCAAAAGAATTATATTAAATATAAATGTACCTAGGCGGTTTCATGCGATAAATATGCTTAGGGTTGAGAGGGAGTGTGAGGGGAGCAAGTCCAGAGGATGCCAAGCTGGGCCCCTTCTCTACAGCACGCTTCTCACACCTGACTGTGCCTGCAGGCCTTCTGGGTGTCTTGGTCCAAGGCAGATTCTGATTCAGGGGTCTGGGGTAGGGTGCAGGAGTTGGAGTGATAATAAGCAGATGCCCATGTAGCCCCAGGGCTTTGGTCCAGGGACTGGGGAGCAGTGAATGAACGGACTCTGCAGTGGGAGCAGCACCGTGGACAGGGTGAGTAGGGAGTGGCCACCAGATTCTCACTGGGGGAATGAAGTGGGAGTTAAGGCTGGAGTGGTGGGTTTCATTTAGAAGTTGGATAAGTGGTAGAGAAGGGGTCACATTCAGCTGCTTACAGGGGACTGGGTTGCCTGTGGGGAAGTGGGCTATGTGTATTCTTACTTCACAGAGATACTTTGTATATTACGCATGGGAGGAACTTCTTCACCCTAGAAAAATGAACTATCACAATTCTCAGAATACAAGGTCCTTTTGGTCTATGTTGTTTCTCCATTTCTGATAAAGACTTAGTTACAAGAAATGGTTCCCTCTTAACAGTGACAAACAGCAGACACTTGGCCTCTCTGGGGATGGGGATGGGGGATAGGGAAGCAGTCCACCTGATGACCAGAGGTGGGCGCCCCTACTCAGCTCCAGCTTGGTTGTGGTGCCAGAACACAGGCCCACAGTTGCCAAAAACCAGAAATCCCACATTGTTTGTGTGAAGCTTCCAACTTTAAAATATTGGACACTAACTCAAAATTGTTTCCAACACTGTGAGTACTAAAGAGTTCAAGCGTATGAGGTTGAAAAGGCCAACAGTGTCCTGTTTACAACTGTTGGCTAAAAGCGTTTGAAACTGGGGTGTGGATGGCCAGGCCTACTTTTAGATGGATTCTGACCACAGCAGTGTCAGGGATGGATTGTGGGAGGGAGGAGCTGGAAGATAGAAGGCCTCTAAGGAGGCTCCTGGTAGCTTTGGCTAGAGAGAAGTCCCAGGGTGGGAACATCTAGGCATCTGGAGGAGGGAGGGTTGAGGCATGAGCAGATATGTACTGGAGGGAGAGTAGACTGGCTGGGGCAACCCAACAGGTTTCCAAATCAAGTGACTGGGGACCAGGGTGACATTCACCACAATAATAAATACAGGAACAGAAACATGCTTTAAGAGAAGGTTCTGGACAAGTAGAATTTAGGTGCCTCTGGGTTAGCCAATAGGTCAGAGGTAAAGCTTAATTAGCTTTCTAAAACACAGAATCTGGTGAGGTTACTATCACTTAATATCCCTCTGATGGCTTCCCTTTGACTAAATAGAAAATCCAGACTCCTCATCCTGGTAAACAAAGCCCTTCCAGATCTGTGTCTGCCAACCTCAATGTTTCACACCCCAACACAGAAACCTGCTCCCCAGGCCTGCTGAACAACTCTGAGTTCCAGGAATAAGCCGTGTCTTTGTTCTTGTTAGTCCTTAGGCCTGCGATGCCTTTCTACCACATCCCTTTGTGTGTCTGGAAAATTCCTACTCCCATCAGGTTCCAACATCTCTACTCTGAACCTTTAACTGACCCTGCCAAGCAGAAGTGAGCACACCCTTGTTTGTGCCATTCTTGAATTTTTATATGCTTCTTTTACTGCCCCATCTCTCCCTGCTGAAGGAATTTGCCCGTCTAAACTCCTGGAAGGCAGAGACCACATCTTAACTTTGTACCACATCCTAGCACAGATCTGGTGTATAGAAGACACTAGTTAAATGTTTAAAGAATAAGTGCCCCTTTTCTAGGAGGGTGAACTGCAAAGCTGGTCTGAAGGCAGTGGTTTTCTCATTTCCCCAGGGGGCATCCAGCGCCTCCTCTGTCTGCTGCTGAAGGACAGCATGAGGCCCCAGGTCTGACCTCACCTCTGTTCTTTCTTTGCAGCTGGGGTATGGCCGTCAATGTGTACTCCACATCTGTGACCAGTGAAAATCTGAGTCGCCATGATATGCTTGCATGGGTCAATGACTCTCTGCACCTCAACTATACCAAGATAGAACAGCTCTGTTCAGGTAGGAGGTGGGGATGGGGAGCAGCCCTGCTGCAGGGAGAGGAAGCCAGGGTGTGAAGGCAGAAGAGTACAGCAAATAAAGTTTCTTGTCATTAGTATGAAGAAGAGCTGGAGAGCCAAAGTAGTCACATTGCTTGAAGCTGAAGCCAGGAAACAAGCAGAAAAAGTGAAGAGGCAGAGAGGCGCCCATGGGGGGTCAAAAAACAGGCCACAGGTTAACAGCACAGGGTCAGTGTAGCTGCTGTGGGTCCAGCTCTTAGCTCCTATACTGCTGGTGCAGCTCTAGGAACATCATTACATCTCTCAAGGTTTCATTTTTCTCATCTGTACAGTGGCAGTCCCATCAACTATCTACCTAGGGTCACTGTTAGGATTGAGCCACATTTACACAGTGTTGAGAATGGTGGTGGCATACAGTATGCAGCAATAGTTACAAATAGGCATATTCTTAGAAAGCTGGGGGGAAATTGGCTGTGTCTAACTGGTAAGTAGTATGATTGGCCTCACCCCATGACAAGGAGAGAGATGAGGGTCCAGGTCAGGGGAGTAGACCAGCACAGGGCCTGTGGGGGTGAGAGAGCAGCTCAAGGGGAGCAGCTGGGACCTGCCTCAGTCAGCCGTGCCTCTCCACAGGGGCAGCCTACTGCCAGTTCATGGACATGCTCTTCCCTGGCTGTGTGCACTTGAGGAAGGTCAAGTTCCAGGCCAAACTAGAACATGAATACATCCACAACTTCAAGGTGCTGCAAGCAGCTTTCAAGAAGATGGGTGTTGACAAAGTAGGTGCCTGCCACTCTGGGGCCCTGAGGAGCTATGTACCCAGGGAAGAAGATGGCCCACCAGCTGGAGTGATGGGCTGCTTGGGTTACTCCAGTGTGTGTGTGTGTGTGTGTGTTCACTCCCTCCTCCACCCAACTCTCCAAAGGAAATGCTTCCCCAGCCCAAAGCACAGTGGGACCCACCACCACTTGCCATCCCTTTCTCCTCCACGGACCCCACACCCCTAAATACTCAGGCACTGTACACCACTCCTGTTGTGTGTCTCTGGAGGGCTGCAGAAATCTCCTTGCTCACTTTCCCACCTTAATAGTCCCAGGGCTGTGGGTCTTGAGCTTTCAGCTCACGTGCAGGCAGCAGAACCAAGAGACATCCGTACACAGTCCTTCCTGAGCCGATGGGAGAAGGATGGCTTCTGGATCACTGGCCAGCCTGCCAGCCTGCCTGTCTGTTCTGGTGCCATGGGAGGGGGGCAGGTGGAGAAGGTGGGCAATGCTGCAGCCCAGGGCTGGCTTTCCTGAGAGCAGCGGTCCTCTCACAGAGGAAGGCGGCCCTGCGCAGCAGGTGGCTAAAGTGCTCTGCTTATGTGGTCTATTTCAGATCATTCCTGTAGAAAAATTAGTGAAAGGAAAATTCCAAGATAATTTTGAGTTTATTCAGTGGTTTAAGAAATTCTTTGACGCAAACTATGATGGAAAGGATTACAACCCTCTGCTGGCGCGGCAGGGCCAGGACGTAGCACCACCTCCTAACCCAGGTGATCAGATCTTCAACAAATCCAAGAAACTCATTGGCACAGCAGGTAACGTGCCCGAGCTGGGGGAGGGAGTTTGGGGGGCCAGGCCGGCAGGACTCAACAGCCAGGAGTGCCCCCAGGGCCGCCGGCCTGGCCTTACCAGCCTGGAGGAGACTGTTATCACGGAGTTCAGATGGCGCCGCCTGCTGCCTGCTTGTTGGGAATCTCAGGAAGGGGTGAGAGGGCTCCAAAACCCACTCTGAAAGCCACCTGCACCAGCACAGTGGCACCTGAGGCCCAGGGGACTTTGTTTCCTATCCTAGCATGAGCTAACTTGTTTGCCTTCAAGATCACAGGCAGCAAAGTGGCATGATTTCTCTGTCCAAGTTCATTAGGCCAAGGTCTTATACCAGCACCATAGTCCCTTCCTGTCCCTGCCCTTTGTATACCCAGGGGCAGGAGTTTGCCAAGCTGGATCCTATCTCCCCCCATTCCAAGGCCCTTAGCGCGAAGTCCTCAAGAGATGAATCTCTAGAATGAGCCTTTGTCTGGGTGCTAAAGGGGCAGGGGAAGAAGCAATAGGGCCTTTGGGGGGACAGCAAGGTTGGGAAGGAAGAGAGAGGAGCAGCCCTAGCCTACATCTGACCCGTCATAGCAGAGCCGCCTCCTCTGTTTGCGCTGCTGTCCCGCCTGGGCCTGTCCCCACTCACCTGCTTGCTTTGCATTAGAAGCAGCCGCTCTATCTAGGGAGGTGAAGTGGCTAGAAAGCAAGTGGCCATAGCATGCAGGCTATGCTCGGAGGAGCTGGGGTCCCTGCCCAGCTGTGTGGCTAGAGGGTTCAGCCCAGCAGAGGGCAACAGAGCCCATCCTAAGACAGGGACCCAGGAGGTGTGGGACAGGTTTCACAGGGAGGGTGGCTTTGGGCTAGTTGCTTGTGTTAGGGGAAACCCTGAGCCAACTGCTTTCTCTTGGGTTCCTGCTGTCAGTTTAAGAGGGCCCTGAACTCTCCCAGCTCCACTTCCCTGATTCACAGCCCCAGCACCTCAGTCCTCCCTCAGGCCAGCTCTCTTTGTGCCCTGACTTCTCACACCTTCCTTTAGTTCCCTGTGGTCCCTGCTCTCCCAGGCTTGTCAAAGGGCTGCCTAGCTGCTGTAGTGTCATGTGTGGCCGAGGCTCGAAGCCTAGATGTAGATGCCCTTCCTGAGTGGGGTGTGTCTGCCTGTCGCATGGGTCTGCCCCCGCAGTCCTCACACCTCGCTGTCTTGTGCCATGTGAACTATGGGCTCCTGTGGCCACATCTGACTCTTTTCCTCTGGGCAGTTCCACAGAGGACATCCCCCACAGGCCCCAAGAACATGCAGACCTCTGGCCGACTGAGCAATGTGGCCCCACCCTGCATCCTCCGGAAGAATCCCCCATCAGCCCGAAATGGTGGCCATGAGACTGATGCCCAAATTCTTGAACTCAACCAACAGGTAAGTGGTATGGGAAAGGGTAGCTGAGATAGCCCTGGTACAAAGGCCAAGACACACACTGGGCATCAGAAGGTCAAGAGGGGGTGGGCAGGGCAGGGACTCTAGCTTGAGCACCACCTTCCACCTGAGCAGCTCCTGGACTTGAAGTTGACAGTGGACGGGCTGGAAAAGGAGCGAGACTTCTACTTCAGCAAACTGCGTGACATCGAGCTCATCTGCCAGGAACACGAGAGTGAAAACAGCCCTGTCATTTCAGGCATCATTGGCATTCTGTATGCCACTGAGGTGAGTGCTCCTTTGCCTACTACTGGCCCAGGCCTGTGGGCCACCCTGAGACCAGAAGCATGGTAGAACCAGAAGGGATGTTGGAGAATATTTACTAATAAGGAGAGAGATGAAGTCACTAGCCCAGAGTTGCATACAGCCAGTAGCAGGAAAAGCAGGACTATAATTCGGGGCTTCTGGGTGCTCAGCCCCATCTCCTACGCCACCATATCAGACCTGACACCTCAGCCTGACCTGCCTGGATCACTAGCCCTCTTCCTTGCCCTCTCCAGGAAGGATTTGCACCCCCTGAGGATGATGAGATTGAAGAACACCAACAAGAAGACCAGGACGAGTACTGAGGGCGGCTCCAGCCCTGGCTGACTGCACGGCTCCGTGCCTCCCCCCATGCCCACCCCCACATTATAATTCTTTCCCTCCAGCCAGTCAGCCGGCCGGGTGCTTTGTGTCAGTGCCGCAGCATTGGGGAGCCCGGCGAGGGGGGTTGGGGGATGGGGCAGGTGAGCAGGCAGAGGCCTTGTCCTGGTCCCCAGTGGCACTGGCCCAGGGAGCAGGACCCCTGCCCACTCCCCACCCCTATTTATTTCCGTTGTCTCTATGCTGTGTTGGCCAACACTTCCCAGGGTGCTGCCGCCACCCACCCAGCCAGCCACCTGCTCCCCCAACAGCCAGCAGCTGTATATTTGACAAAGTCATTGGTATATTTTTACTTACTGGATTGTCCTTGCACTTTACCTGTTTTTTCCAGGGCTGACAGCGGGGCTGGGGGCAGCATGCCTGGCTTGGCTCCCCTTTCCCTTGGCCCAGTCCGGGGCAGGACTCACTGATTCTTATTTATTTTGTCTTTTGACTTCCCAATAGTTGAGGGGGAAGGCTGATGTGAGGAGAAGGAGGGGACTGAGGAGGCAGTGCTGTGGCCCCAGGGGTCAGGGAGAGGGAGGGGAGCATGCGAGGGACAGCAGTGACTTCCTGGCACTGGGCTCACTCACCCAAGACCTCTGTCCCAGCACCAAAGCCCAGTACTGCCCCAAAGCCCTCAGCTACTCCCTCCTGCAGCCTAGTTCACACCACACAGACTCTGCCTGGCCCTCACTGTACGTCTGCCTCCCACCCGCCAGCCTCCCCTCCCCTGCCCCTCGGGCACCAGCCTGCATATGTGTTCACTTTTATTTAAATAAACTTGTGTGGTAAAAAGTCTGTCCCATGTCTCCTTCAACTCAGCCACAGCCTGGGTCTCAGGGCTTGTCACCTTCCAGCTACCCCTCCTCTCTAGAAGTGACGATTATGCGGCATAGCTTCACTGCCATCAGAAGCCACCACTGGCAGCCTGGTGTGGTGGAGCACACCTGAAATTCCAGCAACTGGGGAGGCTGAGGCAGGAGGATTGCAAGTTCAAAGCCATCCTCAGCAACAGCAAAGCACTACGCAATTCAGTGAGACCCTGTCTCTAAATAAAATACAAAATAGGGTTGGGGATGTGGCTCATTGGTTGAGTGCC